GGGCAAACCACTTTCATTGAAATAAGGAGTTCTTAAACAGGGGAACTAGTAGAGCATCGTAAGGCAGCTTTAGCCAAAGAGTCGGCAAGCAAATTAGCTGAACGAGGTACATAATTGAAAGCAAATTAGTCAACTAGAGGTTTATATGGTTTATCTATGTCTCAAATCTATTGTGCTCCTGTTTATTTCAATGTATGTGTTACTACTTTCTTCACCTAATGCTAATAAACTTAACAGAAAACGCAGAGGAATTAGTGCGGCTGTTGTAACGTAAACATACCACTGAAACAGCTGTGATAAGGTCATACATCATAATCCCAGCATCTGCTAGAGCAAGACTAGCACATGATATCACAATGGGAAGGTCACCTGCAATACAATACCATTGGAGAAAGTCAAGAGTATGCCAATCCAAGGTCCGATCATAATAATATCGTATTGTCAATATGGTCTTCTTTCTCAGAAAATAAAATAGTCATAATTAGCTTCCATAATCAACTCAACGAGCACCAATGTCTGGAGAACCAGTGAGCAATCTCCTATGCTTCCACAAGGTTTATATTATTTTGCATTTTTCTGGTTAAAGAATCTTTGATAGCATTCCTTTTAAGTACTGCTGAGACTAAAAGAATGTACAGAGTCATGAGACTTACTGCCTCCAGATTCAAGCACCAATGCAAAAACATCAACAGTTGTCTTTGGAAACGTCTCCATCATTATTACGCCTTCCAACGCTTTGTGAAGCATCGATGAGTACTCTTTGTGATCAGTTCCCTGTAAGAACCACAACATATAACTAATTTGATGAAACAAAGAAACATGAAATTATCAAATCTGAAGTTACCAGTAACGTGATAATACCTGCCCAGAAGTCGGAGAAGCGAAAGTTGTATAGCTAACATTGCAATTCAATCTACCAACATCACTATAAACCATTGCTTTCTTACTCTCCCTTGGCCCAAATCTAAAATTTTTTGAACACAATACAGAATTAGCCAACAGAAAATAAGAGTTGATGCAAATACTGATAATAGACACTAAGTGTTATCTAATTACTCACACTGAAACAATGACTTTTGTATTCCCAAACTCAGCATAAGCAGAACCAGAAGCAGAACTCACAGCACCAGTTTGAAGTACTGAAAGAACCAATTTTTACCACAAAAGAAACAAGATTCAAGTTTCGTTAGTCTCACAGAAAGAGCCCTTTCACTGGATTCATATCAATTTCTAGTGAAATCGTTGACAGATTCTTCTCAATAACGTTTAAGAAGAGAAAGGTTTTTTTACAGGCAGGTCGGCATTGGTGGAATCCACGGCCATCAGGACGAGACCAATCGAGGTCGGAATCCTTGAAAATAGGAGGCCGAGTTCTTCCGACAATTTTGGGTGAATAGGTTGTAGTTGCGGCTCCAGGTTTTGCTGCCATTATTCAGCGGTCAGACTAACAAAGTCGAATCTGAGTCCTGACAAGTATGGAGAAATCAATCGATTGTGAATCCCAGTTCAAATTCGCCGCGAAAGCAGTATCAGTCTAGTACGAGTACTGAAGAAACTTACCTGAGGGCTTGAGAGCGAGCGAGAGAGAGAACGAGTAACACCGCCGTTGAGGATTTTTAGGGTTTATCAATCAAAAAGACAAAGAAAAAAATGTTTTAAATATCCTCAAACTCTTTGACCCAAAAAAAAAAAAATCCTCAAACTAAAGTTGATTAAGTAAAATAAAAGGGAAACTGGGTTGAATATTAATTAAGAAAATAATATGAGACATAATTTAAAAGTAACTAAAACATAAATGATATTTTGAATTTTTTTGAATTTTGCAAAGATTTTGAAATTGTAACATTTTTGAAAATTAACATTTGAAAAATGATATTTTTAAAATTTTTCAATAAAATATGACATGGCTTGAAAAATATTATGGCATTGCAATTTTTTTTAAGAAAATTATTGAAATTAATCATAATAAAATATACTCAAAATTTTTCCATAGCTGGACTTATATTTGTTTCTTTAACAATTTAATTTGAAATCAACTAAAACAACATATCCCATATATAAATATTTACAAATTGTGTGATTCAACTATAAAAAAAACGAATTTTTTTAATTACAAAATTAAAAACTTTCAATTATTATTTTTTTGCATATTGAAATTTGACAAAAAAAATGTAAAGTTATGAAAATTATTTTGACAAACCAATAA